TTATCAGACCATGAACATGAATCCTAAACTGGTTTTATGTCTGTTTATTCAAAATTTAGCAGAAGTTAAAGCGTTTTATGTAGAATTAAGCAAAAATCTGAAGCATTTTATCAAGAATTTGGCATCTGAGAACTTATTATTAGATCATGACCACTAATCCTAAACTTACTTTAAAGTCTGTTTGTCTAGAATTTAGCAAAATTTCGAAGCATTTTATCTAGAATTTGGCATCTGAGAATTTATTATCAGCCCATGAACACAAATCATAAACTGGTTTTAAGTCTGTTTATTAAAAATTTGCAGAATTTAAAGTGTTTCATGTAGAATTTAGCAAAAATTCAAAGCATTTTATCAAAAATTTGGCATCTGAGAACTTATTATTAGATCATGAACACTAATCCTAAACTTATTTTAAAGTCTGTTTGTCTAGAATTTAGCAAAATTTCGAAGCATTTTATCGAGAATTTGGCATCTGAGAATTTATTATCAGGCCATGAACACGAATCCTAAATTGGTTTTAAGTCTGTATATCAATAATTTAGCAGAATTTAAAGTGTTTCATGTAAAGTTTAGCAAATATTTGAGGCATTTTATCGAGAATTTGGCATCTGTAAACTTATCAGATCATGAACACTAATTATAAACAGTTTTTAAGTCTGTTTATCTAGAATTTAGCAAAAATTTGAAGCATTTTATTTAGAATTTGGCATCTGAGAATTTAGTATCAGCCCATGAACACGAATCATAAACTGGTTTTAAGGCTGTTTATTAAAAATTTTGCAGAATTTAAAGTGTTTTATCAAAAAATTGGGCATCTGAGAACTTATTATCAGGTCATGAACACTAATTATAAACTGGTTTTAATTCCATTTATCAAAAATTTAGCAGAATTTAAAGTATTTTATGTAGAATTTAGCAAAAATTTGAAGAATTTTATTTACAATTTGGCATTGGAGAACTTATTATCAGGCCACAAATACTAATCCTAAACTTGTTTTGAGTCTATTTATCTAGAATTTAGCAAAAATTCAAAGCATTTTTTCGAGAATTTGGCATCAGAGAACTTATTATCAGGCCGTGAACATGAATCATAAACTGGTTTTAAGTCTGTTTATTTAAAATTTTGTAGAATTGAAAGCATTTTATGTAGAATTTAGCAAAAATTTGAAGCATTTTTTCGAGAATTTGGCATCTGAAAACTTATTATCAGGCCGTGAACACGAATCATAAACTGGTTTTAAGTCTGTTTATCTAGAATTTAGCAGAATTTAAAGCGTTTTATGTAGAATTCGGCATCTGAGATCTTACTTTTCCAGAGATTGTTTATCTTTATCGTTTACGGTGACTTCAGCTCTCATTGGGCACCACAGTTTTTTAACGCACAAATCAGCGTGTGATCGTGCGATCGTGGACGATCGATTAAGAAAATTTCATCGAATGCCCGTCCCTAATCGAGACTCTTGGAGGTTTTCATCTTTTCTGCTGTGAATGGCCCAGGAGTTTCCACCAAGTCATTGTGGATATCGCCCAAGTGAATATTTGTCCAGGTAGTTGGTGATTCTGACCAGAAATTTGGTTTGGTCCACCTTTTGTCGGGGTTGAAAAGGGTGATTTGTCGTCCATCGATGCTTTATGACCAATTTTCTGGTCAAATGGTCTTGGGTCCTCTGCCGTTAGAGTGGATAAATAACCAGGATCAATACCCTTTACGTGTTTTCTCGCTCCGTCCGTCATGTTGAATTAGTGTTTCTTGCCGCCGACCAAAATAATTCCCAGCATGCAACGCACGCTTTTGTCAACAATGAAACTCGTCTATATAATGATTCGTTTTTTTTCAGTTTTCGATTTTGTGTTTAAATGAAAAATGAAAAAAAAAACGGATAAAGACCGTTTCTTGTTTATGTGACTTAAACTGTGATGCCGGACTGAACCAGGACTCAACCAGGACTAAACTAGAACTAAACCAGGACTGGTTGAGTCCTGGTTCAGTCTATAAGAGTCAATATTGGATGAAAATAGTGACTGCGATGTTGGACTTCAGCACCGCATACAGACTGAACCAGAACTGATCCAGGTCCGGGACCAGACCGGGACCAGACCGGGACCAGACTGGGACCAGACAGAGATTGAGACCAGGCCTGAGACCGAGACCAGACCGGGACTGAGACTGGGACCAGACCAGGACCAGACCGGGACTGAGACCGGACCAGACGGAGACCAGGCCTGAGACCAGACCAGACCGGGGACCAGACGGGACCAGACTGAGACAGAGATTGAGACCGACCGGACCTGAGACCGAGACCAGACCGGGACTGAGACCGGGACCAGACCAGGACCAGAGAGACCGGGACCAGACCAGGACCAGACCGGGAGAGACCGGGACCAGACCGGGACCAGATTGACGGGACTGAGACCAGGACCAGACCGGGACTGAGACCAGGACCAGACCGGGATTGAGACCAGGACCAGACTGGGACTGAGACCGGGACCAGACCGGGACCAGACCGGGATCAGAGTGGGACTGAGACCGAGACTGAGACCAGGACCAGACCGGGACTTAGACCGAGACCGGGACAGAGACCGAGACCAGACCAGGACCATACCGGGACCAGACCAAGACTGAGACCAGGATCAGACCGGGACCAGAGCAGGACTGAGACCGAGACCAGACCAGACCAAGACCAGACCGGGACCAGACCAAGACTGAGACCAGGATCAGATCGGGACTGAGACCGAGACCAGACGGGGACCAGACCGGGACCAGAACAGAGGCTCAGAGCCCACTGCACGAAGCTGAGGCTCAGACCCTGTGGAGGCTCGGAATCCGCTCTGGTCCCACTCCGGTCCCGGACCTGGATCAGTCCTGGTTCAGTCCGTATGCGGCGCTAAAATCCGGCATCGCAGTCACTGAAGTCACGTAAATGGGAAACGGCCTTAACCGTTTTTTCCATTTTTCATTTAAACACAAAATCGAAAACTGAAAAAACAAATCATTATCTGTTTTTTAAAATTTTGATTTTGGAGACAAATAATGAAGAAAACTGTTATTTTTTCGTTTTCTTATTTTTGGTTTTATATTGAAAAACGAATGAACGAACAACACATGGATTTAGTTGTTTCTTCGTTTTCCTTTTTTTGGTTTTATTTTGAAAAAAACAAATTAGAAAGTAGAAATAGACTGGAGTGTTTGTGGTTTGTTTTTTGAGGAGGTAACAGGATTAAAACGTGACTTAAACCTCACAAGAGTCACTTTTGCGTCATATACGAACTTTAAAGGTTGCATAGAGGATTTTTTTTTTGTTTCAAATTGTCAATGAAAGTTTAAAACACCATTACAGAGACACAGCAGCTTTGTAATTATGATGACCAAAAAAAAAAAAGAATGAAAATCTATCAACTGTGGACGTGTTGAGGCCAGATAAACATCAGCCAATAGAAAACGAGGCTGCCTCATTTTCTATTGGCTGTTAGGTTGTCAATCAAACTCCCTGCATTTCTAGTGTAACTGACTCGTCGGCGCGCGGGGATCACGTGGTTTACGCAGCGGTTCTTAGAGGCTTTTTCAAACTGTCGCTTCCTCGCAATTCGCACAAAGTTTGTTGCGATGGCGGACGAGAATCCACGAGCAGTTCGCCGCAAAAGAAAGTCCGTTTTTGAGGTCGCCGAAAGAAGAAGAGAAGGGGGAAAGCAGCGAAGACAAACTGAGGTGATTCTTGGAGATTCATTCCAGCGATGGCGCGACTGAAGCAGACGAAGGGTCTAAAAACTGAAGACGCGTCGGTCACAAAATTATTTCTAGACAGGAAACTTTAACAGTAATTCTGAACACGCGCTGGATGTAAACAAGTGTTTCTACATTTGAAAACAGGACTCTCGCTGTATTTCTCTTTCCTTAAAAAAAATCCTCCATACAACCTTTAAGTGCATCGTTTAGCCGACTGGTTGAGTTTGGTTTCATTTCCCTGGGTGAGAAATCCTGAATTATTTAATTTCTTGCCTCCTCGGTGCTCGACTCTCTTCTGTCCGGACACTGAGCCTCCGCCTCCCACGGTCTGATGGGCCTGATTGACAGCTGGATAAACCAATCAGAGAAACGCACGGTTGAGGGCACGAGGAATGTACCGCGTCTGATTGGCTAGACCAGGACTAGACCGGGACCAGGACCAGGACTGAGACCGGGACCGAGACCGAGACCAGAGGGGGACCAGGACTAAAATCAGGACCAGACTGGAACCAGATCTGGACTGAGACCGAGACTGAGCCCAGGACCAGACCGGGACTGAGACCAGGATCAGACCGGGACCAGACCAGAACTGAGACCGGGATTGAGACCAGGACTGAGACTGGTCTAGTCCTGGTTCAGTCCTGGTTCAGTCCTGGCTTAGTCCTGTTTTAGTCCACTTTTGGTCCTGGTTTAGTCCTGGCTTAGTCCTGGTTTAGTCCTGGTTTAGTCCTGGTTTAGTCCCGTTTTAGTCCCGGCTTAGTCCTGGTTAGTCCTGGTTTAGTCCTGTTTTAGTCCTGTTTTAGTCCTGTTTTAGTCCACTTTTGGTCCTGGTTTAGTCCTGGTTTAGTCCTGTTTTAGTCCTGTTTTAGTCCTGTTTTAGTCCACTTTTGGTCCTGGTTTAGTCCTGTTTTAGTCCTGGCTCAGTCCTGGTTTTAGTCCTGGTTTAGTCCTGGTTCAGTTCTGATTCAGTCCTGTTTTAGTCCTGGTTTAGTCCCGGTTTAATCCTGGCTTAGTCCTGGTTTAGTCCTGGTTTAGTCCTGATTCAGTCCGTTATCAGTTTTTTTCCATTTTTCATTTAAACACAAAATCGAAAATTGAAAAAACAAATCATTATCTGCTTTTTTGTTTTGTTTTTTGTTTTCATTTAGATTTTGGAGACAAATAATGAAGAAAATAGTCGTTTTTTTCATTTTCTTCTTTTTGTTTTTATTTTGAAAAACGATTGAACGACACACGGATTCGTAAACGTTTTCATAAATCCGTAAACGTGTCCGTGATGTTCGCTCGTCTGTTTTGAGCTCAGGATTTGTCGGAGCAGACGATAGAGGTGGTGTCCGTCACCGAGGAGGACCTGCCCACCGTCGAGACGCCCAACACGCTCATCGTCAGCCCCCTGGGAAGCTTCGCCGCCGAGCCAACCGCCGCCGCCGCCGAGCCCGCCAACGGCCAATCGGAGAAGGCCAGGCCCGAGGACGTCCCGCCCACCGCCCCCAGCCCCAGCATGCCCATCACCAAAGTCCAGCCTTTTCTCAACGGTAAGAACCACAAAACACATCACAAAAAAAACTATAATAATAAGATTTTGACCAGCGACGTCGTGATTAGAGTTGGGTATCGTTAAGAAGTCACCGATACCATACAGTGAGCTTTCGATACGATACGATATATTTAAAACTGATTCGATACGGTAAAAAAAAATAAACAAAACAAAACAAGCTCAATCAGAAATGTCAACCTGGTCCCCATGAGCAGTGTTGGGGAGTAACAGATTACATGTACCGGAGTTAAGTAATCAGAGTACAAATTATGAGTAAAAGTATTCAGTTACAGTTACTGTTTCAGTGAGTGGTAATTAGATTACAGTTACTTTGTTGAAATAAGTGGATTACACAGAGGTATTTTCCTGTTTTCACATTTTGGGCTGAACCAGAACTAAAACCAGGACTAAAACCAGGTCTAAACTAGGACTTAACCAGGTCTAAACCAGGACTACACCAGGTCTAAACAAGGACTAAACCAGGTCCAAACTAGGACTAAAACTAGGTCTAAAACCAGGTCTAAAGCAGGTCTAACCTAGGATTAAACCAGGACTAAAACCAGATCTAAAACCAGGTCTAAACCAGGACTAAACCAGGTCTAAACTAGGACTAAAACCAGGTCTAAAACCAGGACTAAACCAGGTCTAAACTAGGACTAAAACCAGGTCTAAAACCAGGACTAGACCAGAACTAAACCAGGTCTAAAACCAGGTCTAAACCAGGACTAAACCAGGTCTAAACTAGGACTAAAACCAGGTCTAAAACCAGGACTAGACCAGAACTAAACCAGGTCTTCAGCCTCTTGATAATTAAGGCTTTGGTCTCAGGGTGGATCTTAGGCATGTTGTCAGAGGTCAAGTTGCAGTTGATGTGAAGGTCTGATGTGCTGAGGTTCTTTTTATACACAAACACTAATTGATTGATCAGTAACTGATCACAGGTGAAGCTGTAATCTAGGATTGGTGCATCATATGACAAGACGACAAGACTTTTGTCTTGCCAAAATCTGACCTTTCTGTGTTCATTAAATGATCAATCTTTCTTCAGTGAAGCTAATTTATTTTAGTTTATTGAGCATAATTTGGGAGGGTTTTAGCTTCATATGATACATTTCTAAAACCAATTGATTAATGTAAAGTCAGGTTATAAACTTTTGTTTCTACAAAATGGATAAGCGACAAGACTTTTGTCAAGGACTGTATATACGAGTGGACAGATCTATCGCTGTAGCCGCCGCGTGCCAAACAGGAAGTTCTGCAGGAGGCTCTTCCGGCTCCTTCTGACTCTGGCTCATATTTTCATTTTTTCATATTTTCACGAACATTATCTTGTAAAGTATTGTAATACATTGGTGTGTGTGTGTGTGTGTGTGTGTGTGTGCAGAGGACGACCTGAGGAAGAGCGTGTGGGAGCGAGCGCTGGACCATCGTCTGGAGCTGCTCGTCAGTGTGACCGCCGTGGTCGTCATCACTCTGTCTCTGGGCATCGGTCTGGGAGGTCAGTCCTGGTGTACACCGTCGCCGCGGCAACAGTACAACACGTGACCCCGCTGAAAGGGACGCTAGAGTTAAAGGGACAGTCTGGAATTTTGGACATAGGAGCTCATTTCCTCGTGAGCCAGAGTGTTGGAGACGAAGTTCAGGCACCAGCCAATCAGAGAAGAGCCAGACATTCTGTGTTGGCAATGATTCCTGAGCTCGAGCATTTAAAGCCGGAACAAAGACAATGTTTGGTGAATTTTATCAAAGGGAAATTATTTTTACCTCCGCCAAGGAGGTTATGTTTTTGCCGGCGTTTGTCTGTTTGTTTGTTGTTTGTTTGTTGTTTGTTTGTTTGTTTGTTCTGTTTGTTTGTTTGTTTGTCTGTCTGTTTGTTTGTTTGTTTGTCTGTTAGCAACATAACTCAAAAAGTTATGGACCGATTTTGATGAAATTTTCAGGATTTGTTGGAAATGTGAAAAGGAAGAACTGTTTTCATTTTGGGGGTGATCCGGAAGAAATCCTGGATTCTGGATCACTTTGAAATTTTAGTTAACATTGTGGTAAATGGGGCCAAAAATTTTGTTTCTCAATATCTGGGTTAATTATTGACCAAACCCCATGAAATTTGACTCAGGGATGGACAATGGGATCCTCTTTCATATTCCAAATTGAAAGATACAAGACAAATATTTATGGAAAACACAAATAATATGAGGGGGACTGTAGTCCTTGGCGGAGGTCTGCGCTCTCTGACTGCTTTTCTAGTTTTTATTGTTATTGTGCTTCCTACGGGATTTGGAAAAAGCTTAATATACCAGTTTGCCCCGTTAGTGGCGCATTACATACGTTATGACCAAATAACAGTGGTTGGATAAATGATAAAAAGTACCTGTTTACCGTTGAGCGAACGAATCCTAATGCTGCGAGGTCAGACGGTTTCTACGAAGTGAAATTGGCTGATGAATCAGGCTACCAACACTCTGGCTCACTAGGAAATGAGGTCCTGTGTCCAAAATTCCGGACTTTCCCTTTAAAGTTTCAACATTTGAATTTGCAATAGGACAGAGCATCACAGTGTATATATATGTGTGTGTGTGTGTGTCTGTGTGTGTGTGTGTGTGTGTGTGTGCGTGTGTGTGTGTGTGTGTGTGTGTGTGTCGTGTGTGTGTGTGTGTGTGTGTGTGTGTGTGTGTGTGTGTGTGTGTGTGTGTGTGTGTGTGTGTGTGTGTGTGCGTGTGTGTGTGTGTGTGTGTGTGTGTGTGTGTGTGTGTGTGTGTGTGTGTGCTGTGTGTGTGTGTGTGTGTGTGTGTGTGTGTGTTGTGTGTGTGTGTGTGTGTGTGTGTGTGTGTGTGTGTGTGTGTCTGTGTGTGTGTGTGTGTGTGTGTGTGTGCGTGTGTGTGTGTGTGTGTGTGTGTGTGTGTGTGTGTGTGTGTGTGTTGTGTGTGTGTGTGTGTGTGTGTGTGTGTGTGTGTGCGTGTGTGTGTGTGTGTGTGTGTGTGTGTGTGTGTGTGTGTGTGTCTGTGTGTCTGTGTGTGTGTGTGTGTGTGTGTGTGTGTGTGTGTGTGTGTTCACAGTGGGGCTGAGTTGTGCAGGGAAGTTCAGGTGTGGAGCGTCGTCCAAGTGCATCGAAGCGCTTCTGCAGTGCGACGGCAAAGAGCAGTGTGAAAACGGAGAGGACGAACTGAGCTGTGGTCAGTACAAACAAACTACACATTTTTAAACTTTTATTTTATTTATTTTATTATTTTATTTTTTTCATTTATTTTTTTTATTTAGTTATTTTTATATTTTATTTATTTATTTTATATTTTATATTATATTTATTTATTTAATTATTAATTATATTAATATATATATATATATATATATATATATATATATATATATATATATATATATTATATTATATATTTTTTTTTTTTTTTTTTTTTTATACTTTTGTACAAATGATAACCCGGATTTTACACCAGGAGCATCAGCAGCTCGTGACCAGTGTGGGGGAGTATCAGATTACATGTAACGTAATCAGAGTACAAATTATGAGTAACTGTATTCAGTTACAGTTACTGTTTCAGTGAGTGGTAATTGGATTACAGTTACTTTGTTGGAATAAATGGATTACACAGAGGGATTTTCCTGTTTTCACATTTTGGGCTAAACCTGGACTAAAACCAGAACTAAACCAGAACTAAACTAGGACTAAAACCAGGACTAAAACCAGAACTAAACCAGAACTAAACTAGGACTAAAACCAGGACTAAAACCAGAACTAAACCAGAACTAAACTAGGACTAAAACCAGGACTAGAACAGGACTAAAACCAGGACTAAACCAGGACTAAAACCAGAACTAAACCAGAACTAAACTATAACTAAAACCAGGACTGAACTAGGACTAAACCAAGACTAAAGCAGGACTAAAACCAGGACTAAAACCAGGACTAAAACCAGAACTAAACCAGAACTAAACTAGGACTAAAACCAGGACTAAAACCAGAACTAAACCAGAACTAAACTAGGACTAAAACTAGGACTAAAACCAGGACTAAAACCAGGACTAAACTAGGACTTAAACCAGGACTAAACTAGGATTAAACCAGGACTAAACCAGAACTAAACTAGGACTAAAACCAGGACTAAACTAGGACTAAAGCAGGACTAAACCAGGACTAAAACCAGGAATAAAACCAGAACTAAACCAGAACTAAACTAGGACTAAAACTAGGACTAAAACCAGGACTAAAACAGGACTAAACTAGAACTAAACCAGGACTAAATTAGGACTAAACCAGGACTTAAACAAGGACTAAAACCAGGACTAAACCAGGACTAAAACCAGAACTAAACCAGGATCAAAACTAGGACTAAACCAGGACTAAAACTAGGACTAAAACCAGGACTTAAACCAGTACTAAACCAGAACTAAAACCAGGACTAAACTAGGACTAAGTCAGTTCTCACGTTTAAACACCAAACTCTGTGTATTCTCTATTATGTTTTATCCCCGTGCTCGCTCTAACTACAGGGGTGTGTTTGTTTTTTCCCCCTGCACAGTGCGTCTGAGTGGGCGGAGCTCCGTGGTGCAGGTGCAGAGGGCGGGGCTCTGGATGACGGTGTGTTTTGACGACTGGACCATCTGGCTGGGAGAATCCGCCTGCAGGCAGCTGGGATACAACAGGTGAGGGACGTACGGATGTCGAAAACTCACGATTAAAAATAAACCTGTGAACACGCCCAAAGTAACAATAACCCAAAGAACTAATCCAATCCACTTTATTTCTGTCGCGCATTTCACACAAAAACTGTTTCCAAAGTGCTGCACAAGTACATAATAAAAACAAAAATAAAATGATAAAATAAACTGCTAAAATAATACTAGTCTTAAAATAATAAAATAAATAAAAACAAAATCATAGAATAAAAATAAATAAATTAAATCAGTAAAACCAACAAAAACACATAAAAATAAATAAATAAATAAATAGCACAGAAGAGCACACGACTCACACGGTGTTAAAAGCCAGAGAATAAAAGTGGGTCTTAAGACGAGACTTAAAACTCTCCACTGTGGGGGCTGCTCAAATGTGGAGCGTTCCAGAATGTTCCAGAGCATTCCAGAGTTTTCCAGAGCATTCCAGAGCATTCCAGAGCATTCCAGAGCGTTCCCGAGTTTAGGGCCGACCACAGAAAAGGTCCTGTCCTCCTGGCAGTGTTGGGGAGTAACAGATTACATGTACCGGAGTTATGTAATCAGAGTACAAATGATGAGTAATTGTATTCAGTTACAGTTACTGTTTCAGTGAGTGGGAATTAGATTACAGTTACTTTGTTGAAATAAATGAGGGATTTTCCTGTTTTTCTGTTTTCACATTATTTTATTTATTTATTTATTTTTTCCGGTAATTAAACTCATTGCTGGAAACTAAACCAGGTCTAAACCAGGACTAAAACCAGGACTAAACCAGGACTAAAACCAGGTCTAAACTAGATCTAAACCAGTTTTAAACCAGGACTAAACCAGGACTAAAACCAGGTCTAAACTAGATCTAAACCAGTTTTAAACCAGGACTAAACCAGGACTAAAACCAGGTCTAAGATAGATTTAAACCAGGACTAAAACCAGGTCTAAGATAGATCTAAACCAGGTCTAAACCAGGTCTAAACCAGGACTAAACCAGGACTAAAACCAGGTCAAAGATAGATCTAAACCAGATCTAAACCAGGACTAAAACCAGGTCTAAACTAGACCTAAACCAGGACTAAACTAGATCTAAACCAGGACTAAAACAGGACTAAAACAGGATTTAACAGGACTAAACCATGCTGCGCGGAAATGTCTCCTCCTCTTCTATCAATAATATCTTTAATACAGTTAAGTATCTGAGTCTTTGCTTCTCTACAGCAAATCAAGTAATCCAAAGTATTCAGATTACTTTACTAATTTTAAGTAATTTAATGGATTACATTACAAACTACATTTTGGGGTATGTAATCTGTAATCTGTAGGGGAATACATTTTAAAAGTCACCTTCCCAACACTGCCTCCTGGTTTTAAGTCTTGTCTTAGGTCCCACGAGCTGGACCTGGACCTCAGACCTCAGACCTCAGAGCGCACAGGGGTGTAAATTTGGATGAGGTCTGAGACGTACTGTGGGGCCAGAACATTCAAAGCTTTAAAAACACCCAATAAAATCTTAAAATCAATTCTAAAATTAACAGGAAGCCAGTGTAAAGACGCAAGGATTGGGTTTAACTAAGACTTAAAATTGTTAAAACTGTTATTTCTTCACGTAATCTGCACTGAAATGCAGCAAAGGATCATGGTCTTTGTAGTTCACTCTGTTTTTTAGCTATTGTTGCACCATAACTCTTCATATAAGCACAGAAACTTGTAATTCAATCTACTGTGATGCTCCACGACATTATTGGGAGAGTTTTGACAATAAGATATTACGATATTCGAGTTGTAGTTACATCCCAGAACCACACGCTTTGACAAAAACTTTACAAAGACGAGTGGATCTGGAGTTGGATGACCAGAAGTCCTTATTTACCAGTTTTGAGCCTGTGTCCCCTGTCCAGTCAGATTTATCCAAAACCACTGATATGTCCCAGTTTTACACAAGAAATGTCCCAGGTGTCTCTATTTTGGACCAATTTGATCCCTGCCAACAGTGAAGAGAGGCATAAATTGTACAGTACTTTTTGGACTATAAGTTGTATCAGACAAAAAATGTGTAATGAAGAAGAGAAAACATATAAGTCGCAGTTTTGGGGGGAAATTTATTTAAAAAAATCAGAAACCAGGAACAGACATTTCCTGTGTAAAGTCCAGTTGTAGTAAAAACAATAGAAGAGAGAACAACAGACTGTTAACGTCACATATGAACAGTTCTTCAGATAAACTATAACATAAACAACAGAACAGAACAAGTTTAACAAACTCTCCATCTCACTCCAAATCACTAAATCCATTCAGTTCTTCATCCTCGGTGTCACTTCTGAACAACTCGGCCTCGACCTCCGGAGGTAAACAGAGCGACGCAAACTCTTCTGTGTCGCTGTCGTCAGACTCAGCATCAGTTCCAGTTAGAATTATTCGGGTCTTTCTGAATCCCGACAGGATGGTTTCGGTGTCACTGAAGTCCAGGCTTTGTCCATCCGTCCAGTGACTTCAGGAAAGTTTCATGGTTCATCCTCCCGGTGTCACAAGTTTCTCTCTCACTCCAAACTTTCTTTCTGCTGCTCGATTATCGTTTTCAGTTGACGAGGTGCCGCCTGCAGGCCGCTCACAGAATAAAATGTGCATGAACATTTCTTCCCTACAGGCTCACCGGGCGTCTACGAGCTTGGAATCTTGTACGGGCCACTTGTGAGCCCCGTACGGACTTGCCCGTGGGGACCCATGCGGGTTATTCTGACTAAGGCTACGTTCAGACTGCAGGGCTTAACGCTAAATTCAGATTTTTTTTGTGAAATCCGATGTTTTTGCGAGGTCGTTCACATTTCCAATTAAATGTGACTTGTATGTGACTCCAGTGTGAACATTAAATGGCCCAAAAGTGTCCCACATGTGACACTGGAGACACGACGACGTCAACCGCAGCGAGCGTCTCTGTGTTTACAGAAGTTGTCCAAACATGGACGCAGCATCGAGCACCTGGAGATTTTAAAGTTCCTCTCGTACCGGAGCCAGAACATGAACAACTTACTTGTTTTAAGGAGGAGATTGAGAAGGAGAAGGACGAGGTTTTTGGTCGTGGTGTTTTGTGGGACAGAACGTTGAAAGGAACGTGTGGATGTGGAGACGGAGCCAAGAGTGGTGAGTGGTGATGTGCTTCACTTCAGTCACATGGAGTTCATTAACAATTTTCTCCTACTTCAGTGCAGAATAGTGACGTTTGTGTCTTGTTGATAACGTGTAGGTGGATGAATGCACTTTGACCGTTCAGACTGAAGTCACATGTCAAAAGATCAGATATGTATCGGTTTCAGGAGGAAATATCCAAGTGTCCTGGGTCACATTTGAAAAAATCGGATCTGTGTCGTTCAGACTGTCATTAAAAGATCAGATACAGGAACACAGGGGCCAAAAAATCGGATTTGGGTCACTTCAGGCTGCAGTCTGAACGCAGCGTAAGGCTTTACATAGTGATGAGCTGCGTCTGTCTTTCAGTTACGTGGCGTCGTCTTCTTCTCCGGTGAATTCCATTGAGCCGGAGCTGCAGTACATCCTGGTTTCTCTGGACTCGCCTCACGGGGGCGTGGTCAAACTCCACAACATGACCATCATCAGGTGAGTGAGAATGCAAAGAAACTCAGGGCTCTTTCAGGATTAAATGTGTACTGAGTAACTTTTCCACCACCTGTTTGTCTCCGAGCTGTTATTGCTTTGCTCTGAACTGAACTTTCTCTGATCTGGCCAAGATTTCAAAACTTATATCAGGTTATTCATCTTGTTTTCAGGTTTATTATCGACTTAATAGACCAGAGACTGCTTCATTCTAGACTAGAGGTCGTTTATTTTAAGATAATTTGTCAAGTAAAATGATCTTGCTGCATGGACAGATCACTTCACTACTTTTAAGTCATTTTCTGATCGATTTAAGTGTTTATATCTTACATTTTGACCAAGCTTTTTTGCAGTGTAAATGTTACCGGTCCCAAGTACGACGACCACGATAACAAGGAATAAAGAAAGAGTCTTAGGGCAGAAGTCCACATGTCTTTCCCCGATGCGTCTCTTATTTCAATGACACATCAGAACAATTTACAGATAAAACATTTCTTTAAAAAATTATGTACATAGGGTTCTTTAACAATAAAATCGCGTCAGGAGGCTTTTGACAACCAGTGGGAGTAATATACATTTAGCGTACACTCTCAATACAACAGTTAGTGAAATGGTCCGAAAAATACGGTAAATGGAACTTTAAAAAATAGTTTCGGATGCATTTCGAACTGAGAATCACGCGACAAAGTATCACAATATTAGGGGTGTCAAATTATCGCGTTAATTGCAATTAATTAATTACAGTACATATTTAGTGCGTTATGTTTTTTAATCACGTTCATCTAAATTTTTAATCTTTACCATTTCTGTACGCGAGTTGCCTTATTATAAAATCTGTTTTTATGTGTTTTTGGGACAACAACACATCGCTCCAGCAGAGAATTGTAATTTTCATTCCCGTTCCGCCCGCATCTGTGATAAACCTGCACATGTCTGATCTGAAAACATCGCGACACAGACACAGAACAGACTCACCATCAGCGTCAACATACCTCTGTCACAGAAAGAACATTTAATATTCCACTGAGTCATGTCCTTTAGTCCAACAGAAGCTGAACCGCATCAGCGCACAAGAGCGTTTTTTTTTTTTCCCCGCTTAGTTTATGCAAATTAGTCATGCGGTTTTAAGTTTAGTTCTGTGAGACTTGCACAAATCTGCATTAAACACATTCTCATGTCAAACGGGCTGATGTGGCTCTAGAGTGTTTATGTTTATATGTTGTAAAGTTGAGTTTATTTATGCAGATTAGTAATAGTAATAATGATACTGTGGAATGTAAATAACTGCATCTGTTAAAGTTTGTTAAACAATAAATGACTTTATAAAGTCACTTTTTTTGTTCTATATCAGTCTTTTATAATGAAAATACCTCAAGTTGAAGCTTTTCTCAGCAATTTTTAGGTGAGATTAAAAAAGAGATTAATTAGATTAATTAATTACAGATCATAACTAATTAATCTCTCCATTTTTTTTTTTAAATCTCTTGACAGCACTATGCAATATATCACTGAATCCATTTTTTTCCTACACTCCCACGTATATCTGTACTTCTCTTGAGCAAATGTGGCTGGTTTTTGGTTTCTGGAGTATTTTTGGAGTAATTCTGAATTGTAAAATGTGTGTATCACCCCAGTAAAAGCCAATGCACCTCTGGGAAAGTGGCCACGCTCAAATGTATAGGTGAGCTGCGTGCTGTGCTGCTTTACTGCATGTGTGTGTGTTTGTTTTGTGTGTGTGTTTGTGTTTGTCTACATCTGCAAAGCTCAAAAGTCTATTCCACCTACAAGATTCAATGCAACTGTTACTTTTCGTGTGTGTCTAGATGTTACACTCATACAGGGTGACCATTCATCTGGATTTCGGCAGGACAGTCCGGTTTTACAGCCTTCTGTCCGGACCTCTGTTATACGTCCTCATTTTTGACATTTTGTCCTCATTTCGGACCCTTGCCTGTTGCACGCATCATCACAAATCCCCGCCCATATTGCACCTGTGATGCTGCGATAGCAAAATTTGAAGCTGTTTGCTGTTGAACAAAAGCAAATGCTAAAAAGGAAGACATACTTCAAACACGCTTGGTGCTCAGAGCATCGTTTTGTCGGCAGGAGCACTAAAGGAGAAACTGCCTCGTGTAAGCTTCTGCCATATGATGTGACTAGCCGAGGTAAAGGTGCGTTAGAGCGACACGCAGACACAGAACGTCACAAGGAGAACACTAGCAGTGCTGCGCAATCTTCCTTAACGTCAACATAACAGATGACATCAGATGACATCATCTTGCTTGTTTTGAAACTGATGAATAATCAGTTTCAAGACAAGACGTAACATCGTAGAAAACGTGTCACCAGAGACGATTTATCCGAATCTTTGGGGTCACATAACCCACGTCGCCAAAAAATAAAATAAATAAATAACCTACATCGCCCTGAAAAGCAAAAATAGTAACGCACAGTGTATTAGATGTGGGTTCAGTCAAGTGGTAACGGAGGGAAACAGGGGCAGATTTTTGACATTCAAATGTCTCTTATTCAGAAACTAGAGGGACTATTGAAATAAGTAAAGTATCAGAATGTAGGAAAGAGTTACACTCCAACAGGGTCAAGTTAAACCTGTGATATTCTTTCAAGTTGTTGACAAAAAATTTAAAAACTCATGTCGGTAACGGAGGGAATGAAATATGCAGCACTTTTTGGGCAATAAATCCAAACAGTGATAACTCTTGGTTCTCACTTACATATCCTTAACAAACTGGTTTGAATATTTGCTTCATATAGTTTTCTACCATATGGTACAAGATTAGGTTGAAAAACCTCTTACTTTTTGACTCATGAGATTTTTTATTAAGAAAGGTCATGGTAACGGAGGGAAAAGTAACGGAGGGAAAATTGTGCAAACAAGTAGAAGGTGCAGGATTTTACATCATTTGTCGCTTTTTTCTTCCGAATACTTTAATATTACATGTAATTTTTATATTAATATAAAAATGAAAGGAAACTATTTCTATAAAATATGTCAGTCCTTCCAAGCAAATTTTTATCATTTAAAAAAATAAAATAAAAAATCATGTCCCTTCATCAACAGTTCAAAAATGGAATAACATAAGATATGATGAAATACATCCATTTATTTACATGATTTTTGGGTCTTTGAAATTTGGGAAATAATTTTTGTTCCATGTTTCATACATGGTCTGTTTAAAACGTATGGAACTTTAGAACCAAAAA